GGGGAAAATGTATTTTAATTATAAAAAATCTATATAGACGGACAGAGTAGCGTTCTATAATACATCATGTAGCTGGTCTCTTGTACTATCTATATCACCATTTGAATCAGATGCTTACCTCTTAATACGAAAAAAAAAATTGAACAAGAGAAATGAGAAAAAAATACTGAAAAATCAATTTCGCTTAAACTTTTGCATTTGCCTATACTAAGAACGTATGAGCTATAGCTTTATTGCAGCTCTAGAGGATTCTGTAAAGGATGATGAAGAAATCACTCCATAAATCGATCGAATGAGATCTTTTTTATATGGTCAGTGACAGTGATCAGATCGTACTTCGCGCTTTGCTTCCACAGGAATTGCACTAGCAGCTTTTTGATAAAGGGGAAAGATTTTAGTTTAGGTGTTAATGAGTAAAGCATTGGTATTTTCCATCTAGAAGAGTAACAATAAGACGACAATGAAAAATATGAAGTAATTATATTCTAATTTTAGTTAAAACTGAACACTATATATGAAAATTAGTCGAGAGACAGAATAATATACGTGGTTGCTTACTAGCAATAAAATAAATATGCATAGCAGGCTAATATAGTAGTTGAACTGATGAAACGAACAATAAAATTATATCTGCTGCTTCGTGTGACATGCATCGTGTAGATATTATCAATACGAGAATAGAAGTTGTGCACTGAAGATATATATGAGAATACAAATAATTCTTTTCAATATTACGATGTTAAATGAATCAAATAATCTGATAGAAAAGTAACAAATATGAACAGTTTCAACAAAGTAAACTTTCAGAGCACGCGTCTCAGCTATAAAAAATGTTATAGTTCTGATTTATTCATCTATTTAGTAACTTATTTTTTTAATAACTTATTTTAAGGGCCCCCTCAGAAACTAACTTTGTTATTTTGTGAAACGCTACCTAAAAGGAGTAATTAAGTGTTTGGGGTAGAAATTTTGGACCCCCCCCCCCCCCCCCCCCCCACAGACCGTGACATAGAAACTGTAGTTGTAAAGTATCAGATATACGGTCAGCTACAAATGTGTCGTAAGGAAATGGAACAAAATGATTTCGATTTAATCAGTAACAATAGGTCCATCGTGTTTCACATTTTTAATCCCGCAAGGGATTGCGCTAACAGCTTTTTCATCCGATTTCAACCGAAATTTCAGAGAATGTTAATCTTAACTAGAATCGCTGATAGTTAAAATATCTTCCACAAATCTCAAAGAAATGCACAAGTTCTAGGCAATTCATTACCCCTTACGCGGACAAGGATTCCACAATAAGAATACGAGCTAACAAGTCCGAGCGGTTTCCAAGTTGTAGAGAACCCTTATGGCTAGGACCTAACAGGATTCGATTTTTGAATTTCCCTTTACTTGATTTTTAAAGAACACCTTTCGAAAAATATTCAAATTCCAGGTGCTAATAGAAATGAACAATCCAAGTTTTTTATTTTAGCAAAAGAGAAATTTAAAAATCGGAACCTGATAAGTCCTAGCTTTACATGTCTCCTATATAATAAAAAAAATGATCACTGCCATGTCGAATCGTTATGGAGAAAAATCTGCCCGCCTAAACTGCATGACAAAAAAAATGATTTTGGGAAAAGCGAAAATAAGTTTTTAAAAATCATATTTTTTTCAATATAGGGATTCGGAAAAACCTATGTAATATCCTTAAATCTCATGATAAAATCAATTAACTATAGTGCATTCGAGAGTAGACATTTAGCTCTATCTAATGAGTTATAAATCACAAAACCGATAAATTTGACCAAAATTGACTTGTCTGAGGGGGAGAGGGACTTAAAACCTCTGACAATACATACTAAATTTATAACGCTCAGAGTTTGTGAGTTTCACATTTCAGCCCCTCTTGAGGTTGCAATGACAAGTTTTCCTGTTAGATAACTAGTATATGTAGAGGTCTTAATGTGGATGTGCTTTCAACTTAATTAATGTGTAAATTAAGCTATTGGTAATTTATATTTAAAATAATTGTAAATATGTTATTTTCATAATTTATATTTATTATTAAGTATAAACACTTTGTTTTGATAATTTATATTTAAAAATTAAGCATAAATGAGCGTGCATTGTATTTATTTTAAATATAAATAATGAAAAATAAAATAATTATGTTTGTTTCCTATATGAATTACTAATAATTTATAGGTACTCTAAATTGATAGGAAAATGACGCTTCTAAGCATATTTTACATATTCTTTAAACGATTCGATAATGATCCCATAATAATTAAGTTACAATTGTTTTCATTCCTATTCTATAGTTCGTGATAGAAGAATGAATGTGTAAGTTACAAAGGTTTTCTGCTATTTCTTCTATTCAATTACTACTCCATTATCAATAATACTGCTATGTACTGAATCATATACATGAAAACATAATTTATCAGAATTTCTTCTTCTGAAGAAGAAACTTGCTGATTTAATAAAAAATGATGACAAGTTAATCGCATTTTACCAGTCAAAAAAATTTCATCTTTTTTAAAAATAAATTAAGCTTCTTGAATAAAACGAACAAAAATTTAAAAATTTTATAAAATATCATTTTATGCAACAAAAGTAGGTTTTTCAATTTCGACCCAATGAGTAAAAATTTTCAGACCCGGACACGGTCATAATATAATTTTCAGACCAGAACTCTACCCGAGCCCGACAGGGTGCGGATCCGCGTCCGGGTCGAACTGGATTGGCTCTACTCAAGACAGCCATCGGGAATAATAAGATTTAGAAATATGGGGCATGAGAGTATATAAAATCAATTCGATTCTAATTGTCAACTACTGCGGACATCTAAAATCGCTACTTGATAATCAACAAAGGACAATTATTTGATGAGATGAGGTATCTCATTTCACGATTTTGTTTTGTTTCCTCAGTTTTTAAAAACTTCTGATAAAAATTTATCATGTCTTATATAAGGCATTAGTTTTAAAATGGTATATTGTCTTTCTACGAACTTACTTATAGAAGAATTTGGTACATTAGTATTTGAAGCCACAGTTGATTGTATCTGCTTTTTTAGTGCGATAACTTTTTTATGCCATTTAATACTCTTTTCGTAGTGACCATTTTGAGATGCGAGTTTGCCAAGTTTGATATACAAATCAACAAGTAAAGGATCGTCGGGTTTGAGTTGTTTTGAGAAGCGAATAAAGTATTTCTCAGCTAAATCAGGCTTTCCCATCTCCCATAATACTTTTCCTAATGTTTGAAGACTTGTTTCTCCACTGCCAAGTTTCTCTCTCATATCCACGAAGACTTGTTTTAAATCATGTTCACTGTCACTCCATAAAGTCATTTGGATGATCCAAAATTGACCATCGCTACTACGATTGACGCTGTTTAAACGAAAAATAGAGCCAAGCATAAACAGCACTTCTGCTTCTTCCTTAAATTTACTATACGAACTGATGTCAGCAAATGGCTTTGTACTGATCATCTTAGGATCAGCGTCGATTGCAAACATCACTCGCTCTAAACCAGCTGTAATACCATAAGAGTTAATAAATGAAAGAGCTCGCTGATCATCCGTACTGGTGGAAAAAAATGAATTCACTGAAATAAACTGATTACAGCATTCTCTCAAAGTTTTCAGTTCATCACTTGGTAGCATTTGGCCTCGATAAGTTCGTATAGGTTGCTGAGTTTGATGACTTTCTAATTGACGACAGATATCAGAGATAAATGCACGAAATAAAAACATCAAATGAATTTCTTGAGTACGTAGAGCTGCATTAAGAGTCTTGTAAAAGAAAGATTCTCGTGAATACCACCATAAAGCTTTGTTAGGTGAATAATCCTCTTCAAACTCACGAAGGTTTCTTAACTCTTCATCATCACCTTCAAACTTCTGCTTGCAAAATTCCATAAATTCTTTCATATCTTTCTGAGTGAATTTTAGCCTTAGCAGGCAATCAATGAGCACTTGAGAAAAAAGAAATTTACCATTCACATCAGTTGTTGATTTACCTGCACCAGCACTTGGAGTAAACAGATTAATTGACAACGGTTCTCTCACCATTCTCTGAATTCTGTGATCGGCTTTAATTCGAAAAATGAGTTCATTAAGTTCGACAAAAACACCTTTCACCTATCAAGAAAAAACGCACAAAATGATACTCAAATGGTTCAGAATATTTTTTACTTTTGATGAATATGCGGCAGCCCATTTTTCATTACTTTTCTTATCCATGCAATATACATAGATTGATAAGACTTGTTGCAGTCTATGAATGGAAGGGACTATTTCTCGTCCCAATCGACCACTAGCAATTATTACTAGTCGATCTTGTTGTAATTGTTCTTCAATATATTTTTGACATTGTCTTACATCTTTAAATTTCATGAAACGATTAATGATAGAACGTAACTTTTGTTCGGTATTCCGAATGTCTGTAACGTTCTCATTGGCATCGAGCCAAATAAGACAGGAAATTTTAAGTTGTTGATCATCGTCGTTCATGTGAAAGTAATCAGTTGGTGTAATACCAGTGGCCATTTTAATGAAGGAAACTAAATAGTATAAAAGTCTCAAATGTTATCTATACGATTTGACTACTCATGTGGAAAAATCCTCCGAAGATCGTATAAAATCTTACAAGATCCTACTGATAATCCGATGTCGTAAGATTTATACTATATGATCTTACAATGAAGGTGTGTGTATTGATAATCAAAAGGATAGGACATATTCGGGTTAAATGAAAGCTCTCACCGAGAAACTAACAGGGTTATAATATTAGCTGCTCATGGCTTGCCTAGAGAAAGATATTTAACTTTTAAATCTAGGTATAAAAATAAATCAGTAAAGGTTTTCTCCACTATTATAAGGACCAAACATAGTGTTGTTCGGGGCGATTACGGGGTTTTATAGGGTTCCTCTTTCATATGGCCTGAACAACATCATGTTTTGTCCTTATAATAGTATAGTGATTTTTTTCTGTACCTCATGGAAACAGTTTTTTCTATGAATCACTAGAAAAAATCACTTCGCTATTATAAGGACAAAACATAGCGTTGTTCGGGGCAGTTATGGGGTTTGTAAGGTTCCTCTTTCGTATGGCTCGAACAACACTATGTTTTGTCCTTATAATAGCGAAGTGAATTTTTCTAGTGATTGATAGAAAAAACTGTTTCCATGAGGTACAGAAAAAAATCACTATACTATTATAAGGACAAAACAGGATGTTGTTCAGGCCATATGAAAGAAAGACCCTATAAACTCCATAATCGCCCCGAACAACACTACGTTTGGACCTTATAATAGTGGAGAAAACCTTTACTGATATATTTTTATACCTAGATTTAAAAGTTAAATATCTCCCTCTAGGCAAGTCATGAGCAGCTAATATTTTAACCCCGTTAGTTTCTCGGTGAGAGCTTTCATTTAACCCGAATATGTCCTATCATTTTGATTATCAATACACCTGCCTCCATTATCAGGAAAGCGTACACATGTCTTACTGTAAGATTTAATATGTTTCTTGCTATAAGACGCTAGCACAAATTTTACAAGATTGTTGTTATAAGATTCTTACAAACTCTGATGATCAGAATCTTCCAGGATGGTATATGATTTTATACAATCATAATTTTATGTTTCTCTTATGCAAAGAAATTTTGTACGCATACTTTTACGCATTTCAATAAATGCTTGAGTGGTTAAATATCATCTAATTTTAACGGTAGCTATGCTTTTTACAATAAAAAGTAAATCTTCTGTATAGAACTTACACCATTAATCGAATTCATTTGGCCGATCAATTAGGTTCAGCAATATGGTCAAGGGGAACTATAATATAGATAGGTGGCTAACTTTTTAAATTTCATCGAATTCATATGGTCAATGGTAAGTATAATATTTATATAAGTGAATATTTTCTTTGATTTAAATTAATCAGAAAAACGTCGTCAAAAGGTAGGTATGAATTTTATAAAATACATAATTTTTTTTATTTAGTTAATGCTGAAAAATATCGTCAATAGCTAAGTATAAATTTTATAAGAGAAATATTTTTTTTTTATCTAGATTGATCTGAACAATGTCGCCAAAAGATATGTATAAATTTTATTAAATGAATAATTTTTTTCAGGTAATGCTGAACGACATCGTTAATAAGTATAAATTTCATTAAATAGATTGTTTTTATTGAGATGAATCTGAACAACATATTCACAACTGAGTATAAAGTCTATTATCTAATTGATATTTTTGTTTTTATTTGGATTAAAATGAATAATGGCGTCAAAAGATAAATCTAAATTTTATTAGATAAATAATTCTTTTTATTTAGTTAATGCTGAACAACATCATCAATAGGTAAGTATAAATTTTATAAAACAAATAATTGTTTTCATTTACGTTTTACTCAACAAAATGATCAACGGTAAGTAATACATGAAGTGAGTGAATAGTCCCCTTGTTATTTTCTGGAGAAAGACTGGGTAGAGATAAAAACCGGATGATGAGGTAGTGAAGATCAGGAGGATGGGGACAATATATCCAGAAATTCAACCGTAAAATGCATTTGAAGTATTCGTAAAAGTTTAGATAAATATTACAAGATCTTGCAATAAGTTCATACAAGAATCTTACTGTAAAATTTTATCAGAAATGCAGACTTTAAGATTGGCATATGAGATCGTACAAGATCTTGTACGCTCATAGAAGATCATACAGTAAGCTCCTATATGATCTTGTAGGAAGCATAAAAAATCTAATAAGTAGATTGTTTTACCTGAATAGCGAATGCATGAATACTGTTAGCCGTTTGAAGTGAATGTTACATTTAATTCTATTATTTTAGTTCTTAATATTCTTAATATTTATGATATTTTTGTTTTTTTTTAATTTTAACGCAAAGTAAGAGGATAGAAGAACAAGATGTTTACATTTTTCTAAGAAAATAACTTCTCTGAACCTTAGCTTTTGTAGATAAGACCGTCGAATCAAGGTGCAAAACTTTAGCATGAATCGAAGTTATTTATAGTTTTTTTTCGTTTAGTTATATAAGAAGATTATATACAAAATGATATCATTTATGAGTAAGTTAAATATTATCAGTTGACAGTGTATAGATTCTTGGCGTTAAAAATTATAATACATAGTTTTGATTTTTCTATTTTGCAAATTTCTACAACAAAATTTAGATGAATTATCAAACCGATTGTTTTGTTTTTTGCTCATAAAAAAGAGTTGTTTATTCAAAAAATGCTTTTTCTTACTTTGATTGACAATGTTCTAATATTTGGCAGAGTTCTATAAACTGATAGTCTAAGAAATCATCGGTACAACTTTTCTACCAAAACTTATTAGCTGCATCAAGTTTTCATACAAATAATAGCAAAATATAAATTGTAATCTTCATTTCTAAACACTATTAGAGACCATTGGTTGAGATTTCCATCAAAAGGACAAAAGGTCTTTGTTTCTTGAAATTTTCACGGCACAATGAATAGTTTCTATGGCATGGTTGACCATTATTATGGCTCAAATGAGCATGTCTGTGTCACAATTGGCCATTCTCGTATTAGAAACGGCCATTACTTTGGCATGTATCAGAATTTTTAGTTGTTATAATTAACTAAAGCATAAACTTTATCATATACATTGGCATCTTTCAACATTTTATCTGAAGTATTTGTGTATATCTATAGTATGTAATTTAGAACATGTTACAAAGATTAATAATTTCTCCTAAAATCCTCATTATATAGAAGAAGAAGAAGAAGAAGAAGAAGAAGAAGAAGAAGAAGAATACCCGGCCTTTCGGCTACCTTGCGGTATAGGGTGCTGTCCGAGGACAGTTTCGAGAAGCCCGATATTTTCCTACATCTATTACTAAATATAGCTCTGGACAGAAGGCCGGCCTGACTCAGAATTCTTCTCGCTTAATTTCTTAAGCTCCCCATACATACTGACTAATCACATACTAGTCACAAGGACCATTTAGTGTATGTTAACAACATAGTCAATTTGTTATCGGATGGGTGGTCCGAGACAAAAACAGCTATTAGTGACTTGTCCAAGGTCATTCTACGACTGATGGATCCGAGGTTCGAACACAGTATCTTGTGGATATGTGTCGAACAACTTAACCATTCAGCCATAGCGGCCCTCATTATACAGAATTCATTTTTAATTAAAAATGTAAGGAGATCATAGTCATCATTCCGTCAGTCTCGGACCAAGTGAAGCAACATTCAATGTCGATGAACGTTACTTGTTCTAATATCGAGCATATTTCAGAAAAAAAAAGATTGCTTGTTTTTATATTTGAATGGGAAAATTATCCTATTTTCATATGACATCTACTCTTAAGAAGAAGGAATATTTTCTGGACATGAAATTTGTTCTTTTGATCATGTTGACTTGAAATGTTAGATACATTACTGCTCATATTTTTACTCAAAGTATGAAATAAACAATAAACATTTCACATTGTATTCACTTTTCAAATAATGGCAATATACTCTGAGAATTTAAGTCATTTGAAAAAAACAAAGAGTAAGGATACCATTCATATATGAAAAACAAAATCGTTAGGGATAGTATTTCTGTTTTAAAAAACTGAATTATACTTCGATTTGAATGGACAAATGTATTTTTTAACATAAATAACAACTGACATTTTATTTTTCTCTACCAAAAATCGAATTTAGATTGTGACTGTTGCTGTTAATTTCAGATGCCTTGAACAGAATAAAAAAGTTCCTTTTTTGTTGCACATATCATTGGACAAATTCATCTTTTATCTACATTCTCAACGATCTCTATTAAGAAATATTCTAGAAAGAGATAGAACAAATATTGTTATAAGAAATCGATCTATGAGATGTCAAAAAAATACACTCCACAATCGGTCTACATGATTCCATCCATAATGAGAGAAGAAATTTACTTCATGATTTCAAACGTTCATTTCAATCAAAGATTCATTCTTATCTAACAAAATTACCAAATGATTTTTTAACTCTTGTAGATAGAAAGAATGAGAACAGCTTTAGCAAACAAAGCCGTAA